TACTTAGGACAGTTAGACCTAATTTCCATTCTGTTATTGATTAGAAAAGAAAAAATTAATGAAAGGCATAGCCTTGCATTTTCACTCCAAATTAATATACCTGATCATTGCTTGTGATTTTTCCTTGAACCCTAAGATCACATCCTGAGTATACAGCGAAAATAACCAGCCCGTCCAAACAACACAACGTGACAATGATAATCAAGCCGGGAACGTTAAGCCAGACCGCCCTTCAAAAAAAGAATAGAAAATTGCAAGTTCTTCCTAACCAGATAAGTCTAATAACTATGCGTGGGTAATCTATAGCCTGTGCACAGTGTGTACAGCCGTCCGCTCCCCTCAGAAAAAAATCGCCTTTTCTCAGTTTAATTTTTGAGGGTGCGGCTGTACACAGACTAGGGTAATCACAGGGAACCCACACAATCTGTTTGTGTAACCGATGTAATTATTTACCGTTTTTATTTGCTTCATCTGTAGCGGTATATCGCCAGATATGTGCTTGTATCAAAGCTAAATAAACGCTGTGTTACCTTTCCTTTCAGTAAATTGTCGTCCTTTTGCCTGACAAGTGGTATTTTGTGCGATTTTGAATGATTTTGAGTTCGCTGTTTACTGTTCCTCTTAATAAGGAAAACAGATTGTGTGGGTCTTCTGTGGTGTAATCCTGCGGGGATCCCCGGGCGCCCACGCACTGGTGTGGGAAGAGTTTCCAAGGAATCTGGGAACGAATGTTTTGAGCCGAGTCTCTTAAAATGGCGGCTTGGTTTATTCTGTGTTCTGCCCTACTTCAGGCAAAACGAGGAAAAGCGAAAGTACGCTGGGAGATTTGTGTTAGTGTATCAGATAACTATGATAGTATTTACTCGACACTTTTCGCTTTTTTAAGACTGACATTGGTTTGCGAAACTGCAAGTGAGTAGCACGTGTCAAGGCGTGTGATAACCAAACTCAGAGCTGGATTGCTGGTAAAGAACCTAATACCCATTTGCAGGTCATTGAATAACAAAGGAATAACAGAAAAGTGTTAATAAGTGTAAATTTCTCACTGCACGACATGCTATCTGATGTTGTATTCCTCGGTCTAGAGGTTTTGGAGTATTTTTACACCAATTTTAATTTACTTTCCCAATCAAAATGCTTTATTTTGTTCTTTAAATAGCTTTCTTTAAGTAAGAAATTATGGTTTATGCAAAACGTGTCCTATAATAAAGCAGTTTACTGATTGTTACTGTGGCAGGTACAAAATGTAAAACGCAAGTCACAGGTCACAATTAAGTGCAGGTTAGAGTACAGGTCACTCAGCCCTGATAATTATTACAATCTGAAATAGCATTTTAGCTTAAGGGGAAACTGCTTATCTCAGTTATTTACCAACAGAGTAGTGACCTGCACCTGTGATCTGTGTCTTGTACCTGCCACAGGTTACTGCAGTATACGCGAATCTTTGTTTACACTTTTTGCCTCATTAACATATGCTTATCACTGTCTGATGACACTAACAGAATGAAAACTCTGAATATTGAAAGGGCATAACAGTTTCAGTTATCTCTGAAAATTTGAGCCCTATACACCAAATGGTTTTGGAGAAATTCTCTTTTAAAAACATGAAATTTTACAGAGAATGTATAGCCCATGCCATTAACTTTTTTTGTCACCCAGCAATTTCGTAGTTTTCGATGGCTGATATTTCCTTAAACAATGCTTGCAAAGAGCTGAAAATTGCACAAATTGCTCAATTTAATCAGCTCTTTCAACTTTTGCATTTAGTTCATATATAGATGGGATGGAAAGTCACTGTATTTGCCCATTCAGGTATCGCTTAGAGCCATGCATAAACAGATTTCCAAAAAGGCAGTGATGTCTGTTAGTATAATCTCCTTTAGGGTCAGTTTAAGCTTGAGCCATACCCACATTGGTCTCCCTTAGGGGTTTAATGTTATTTTTCCAACGAGCAGCCCCCTTACTTTTATATGGGAGTCTCCCCCAGGGAGAATTGCAAGCACGCTAAGATCCCCCTAGCTATTAGCTACTAACTGATAAATACAATACCAAATGTGACACACAGTATCAACTGACATGATACAACTCACTTTGACTCTGATGATGACTACCGCACAGGTTGTCGAAACATCAGTCACTGTGAACAACAGTCGTAAATGTATTTTGGACTACATTCACTCAGACAATCATACTCAACCTATTTAAGTACTTTTTAGTTAACTTTTTCTTCACCTTCTAGCATCCTTGAATGTCCGTATTGCCAGGAAACGTTGAACAGCTGTCTGACTGACTGTCCAAACTGGCATGGCAGTGAATGCTCCTCCAATTGACAGTGTCCAGAATGTGTTGCGTACCTTTGGATCAGGGTCGAAGCTAGATGATTTGGACAAAAACAATCATGTAGTAAAACAAATGTCCTGGAAACTACAGGTATGCAGTTATATGTGTACAGAATTTGTAGTAAATGAAACCACGATTAACTAGAGTCAATGGACATTTACATGTTGATTGCCTCCAAATCTTCACCTAANTGGGATGGAAAGTCACTGTATTTGCCCATTCAGGTATCGCTTAGAGCCATGCATAAACAGATTTCCAAAAAGGCAGTGATGTCTGTTAGTATAATCTCCTTTAGGGTCAGTTTAAGCTTGAGCCATACCCACATTGGTCTCCCTTAGGGGTTTAATGTTATTTTTCCAACGAGCAGCCCCCTTACTTTTATATGGGAGTCTCTCCCAGGGAGAATTGCAAGCATGCTAAGATCCCCCTAGCTATTAGCTACTAACTGATAAATACAATACCAAATGTGACACACAGTATCAACTGACATGATACAACTCACTTTGGCTCTGATGATGACTACCGCACAGGTTGTCGAAACATCAGTCACTGTGAACAACAGTCGTAAATGTATTTTGGACTACATTCACTCAGACAATCATACTCAACCTATTTAAGTACTTTTTAGTTAACTTTTTCTTCACCTTCTAGCATCCTTGAATGTCCGTATTGCCAGGAAACGTTGAACAGCTGTCTGACTGACTGTCCAAACTGGCATGGCAGTGAATGCTCCTCCAATTGACAGTGTCCAGAATGTGTTGCGTACCTTTGGATCAGGGTCGAAGCTAGATGATTTGGACAAAAACAATCATGTAGTAAAACAAATGTCCTGGAAACTACAGGTATGCAGTTATAAGTGTACAGAATTTGTAATAAATGAAACCACGATTAACTAGAGTCAATGGACTTTTACATGTTGATTGCCTCCAAATCTTCACCTAACAGGCATACCGTAGGGATTTGCGTCATTGTTTTTTTCCCTTGTCCACCTATTCCCTGCACTCTGATCACTCAGTAAGAGACAACAGATTTTATTCTCCTCTCCCATCACTCTTATTCCTCCACCCAAAATAAATAGCCTCCTGCTGAGTTGCTCTAAGCCCTCTCTATCAAAGCTAGGCTTGGTGCACAGCCATTCATGCTTATGAAAATGAGTTTAATTTGCTTGTGAATGAAAAACTTATTTTCGTATGAGCACTGGGAGTTTGACTCAGTGCTAATGGGAAAAAAATCCATGGGTGGCTGGAGGGACACTCAGACCAGTCCTGGAATTTAGTGTTCAGATGACCTGGCCATTCTTCTTTCACATACATAAGTTGTGTATACAGCACAAAGCAACAGAAAACTAATCCATTCATAATAGTCGATTGGGGTAAATAAGTTGATCAGCAATACTTAAAGGAGTGTAATAATGCATCAAATCATTGATACATTGTGATAAGTAGTGAGCTAATAACAGAGTTGTATGCAGACATAAGAATTGATAACAGATAGTGTTGTTATTGATTTTTCAAGTGATGTCCTGTATTCCTCTTTCTTGATTGAAAAATGCCTCCTTTCAGGCCTTACAATAGAGTGCAAAAAATACTAGGAAATTACCATTATGTGAAATTTGTAGCAGGTCACAACATACACCAGTAAGGGGTTCTTATAGCAGCAAAATATGTTATTTCTCTTGAGTAGATTATGCATACATGTAAAATACTCACTGCCTATAATACATTCACAATAACAAGAAACTCTAGAGGTTTTACACTATGTTTCCAGAGTTAAAAAGTCTTTTAGAAATAAGCCTTTTAATGTGATCATAGATCAGAAGCCCTATCTTTTGTTCTCCACTGCTTTAAAGTCAAGGAACAATGCCTGAATGGTAGTATCAAGTCTAATATCTTCACTAAGGAACAATAATTATTAACAGTGTAACATCTTTTTCAAGCATGTTTGCCATATTATCACAATATTGGTATCACTACTATGGCAGTAGACTGTATTGCAATATTATTTCAGTTATTTCAATACCTAGTATTGCTATGGACAGTAATGACCCAAATGGTCCTCCCTAATTGCTTAGCAACTGCTAAATAGTACTGGATTGTTACACTTACTTAAAGAAGTTAAGTCGACCAAACTTGTCGTTGATTTCCCAAACATTGGCAAAGCCACCAACTTCAATGCTGCCGACAATCACAACTATAATGAGCCCTGCCACCATGATCATAGACTGAAAAACATCTGTCCAAATAACAGCCTTCAGACCACCCTACAGAAAGAAAATGTAGGCATGCAGAAATAATGTGATAAAGAACGTACATGGTTCATTTAAGAGTTTGCTTGATTGTTAGATTCTTGGTTTAAAAACAAGATAACGAGACTTAAATGTTTCAATTTAAGTGGACTTAAATTAAAGCTTTTTTTTGAGCTCTGTGTTAATATTCAACCTTGTTTCTGACAGGGTTTTCCGGAAGCTCCGGAGACCGGCCAAAATTGCCTTGTAGATGTCTTGGTTGCACTGGCTTCTCACAAAAAATATCTTTCAAAGAGAATAATTAATCTGTCATATTTTTCTCTTGACAATTCCTTGGATGAAAGCAAACATTATATGATATTAAAAAAAGTAAATGTGGGTAAATGATGTTGCATTTACATTTTTAATTGCATTCATTCGTTCAAAAACTGGTAGTTTCTTGGTGTTGCTAATGGTTGCATTCACCAAATGATGTAATACAAAATATTTCAAAGACACAGAACAACAATATCCACACCACAAACAAAGGTGAACCAACAATGGTTTCCTTGACACCAAGAAACGGCCCCAAAACTGCACTGAAATGCAATATTCCAGGCTTCCAAAATTGAAATTTTTCTCAAAGAGGGCTCATCCAGACTCAACCAAAAGAAATAGGCTGTTTTCACTTAGCCTGTGAATGGCAGACATTTCTCCTCCCTCATCGCCGCTGAGTGATGTTTCGTGGTGTCCCTCAGCGGCGATGAGCAAGGCGAAATGTCTGCCGTTCGCAGGCTAGTTTTTCCTTTCCATGCCTGCCTACTCTTACATGCAAATGCCATTTAATCTTATCTATTACCGCCTCCTTAAATTTTTCTCCTGCTTCTTTTAATTTTTCTTGAGAACCCTATTCTAGGGTCTCTCCTCTTCCCATTCTGAGAGACCCTGGGAGCAAAGTTTGAGTGAAAGTTATTTGAAAGAGTCTAAACCTCCACGTATCTAAGACTTAAAATGCCGTAAAATTCCAAAAATTAGCCCCTTCAAATATAAGCCCCGCAAACCTGTAATGCAAAAAACCCTCCGTTAAATCGCCCCTCCAAGTATAAGACCCCACAGGGGCATGTACTCGGAAATTGCCCTCAAATATGAAGTAAAACAAAGCAAAAATGGTAAAATCCTTCCAAATATACCTGGTAAGCTAGCCCAATAGATTTTGAAATGAAAATTTCCCTCCGTTCATAAGCCCCTCCAAATATAAGCCCCTCAAAAAGGGCCTTTGGAAAATATAAGCCCCGGGGTTTATTTTCTAGCCTGTGAACAGGCTCTCTGTAGGGGGGAAAAATAGGGAGGAAAGGGAAGGTCCCCTCTCAACCAAAGGCCTGTTCACAGGCTACTTATTTTCGGAATTTTACGGTAATGTACATGCGTTTATATTCTTTATGCTTCACATGCTCTGCTTATAAATAGTCTTACTAGTCACAAATTAAACCCGATTTGAAATATCACTATCAGCCCGGATCTTAGTAATTTTGTACTTACAAGACTTGTGTAGAAGGTGCAAACTATTCCCGTTGTAAGGATGGAGGCTGGTAGGGGGATTCCAGCAACTGCAAAAATCAACAAGTTCAAATAATCGAATAATTAAACTTACAGTTCAATGAGTTGTAAAGTTATAGTGAAATTGTAGAAGTAAAAATCTCAGTGTCTCAGGCACAAACCCATAATATGACCTATAACCCATTATCATGATTATGTCTGGAGAGTAGAAAATTTGAATTTGACTTATTTTTATTTCAGGTAACTAAATTCTTACTAATTAAATTAATAACTTGAACTACGGCCATTCTAAAAGATGTTTATTCAAATCACTTTGTCAGTTGTCACACAGTCTCAATTTACATACTAATAATTACATGTATTGTTTTCTATGTGTATTGTAAACAAAGAAGTAGTGACATAAGCCGCAGACAACAATTCTCCTTTCATTTCCCCAAGAAGTCGGGAGGGAAAAGTTGTTAAAATATCAAGTAAATTCATCTTTTGAGATCATGTAATAATTATAAAAATGTAAATATCTTACCAGCTTCCAGTGCGAGCGATGGTGCATAAAGCACCACGAACAGGTATAATGTCTGTCAAAAATATAGCCATAAATGTGTGAAGGGTTAAACAGAAAATTAAAAAAAGAACGAATAATAATTTGATTTTAATTTTTGATAAGCAAATGAACTAACAACCCTTTAGGGGCCGGTTATTAGGGTACAATGTCTTTTCATTCTTTGTAACAAGCTTTTAGAACAGAAGTCAAAACATAATAAACTTTCATTTTGCTGGAACTTTCCAAAGATACGGGATTCTTATGGCCCGTTTTTTTGGTGAAATTAACGTGATATTTATAAGCTTAAAAGATTCACTATGATATTGAATACAATGAAAAGGGGAAAAAATTCAATGACGCGAAGTATGAAAAAGTGGTAAAAATGGATAGAGAATATGACACTGGAAAACGCGAATTTAAAAAAACATTGTATTTTGCAGGCGTTGTTATTGGTGATAATCAGATTTTGCCCAATTTATCTTCTTCGGTATTGGCCTCTATTTTGGGTTTATTTATCAACAGCAAATTGGATTTGTCTTCCGCATGCTTTTTTTTTTTCGCCCGCAGCGATTAAAATATCCTGTGTACACTGTAGCCTGGAGGTTGTGTTTGCGCAAAAAAAGTGTGGCAAACGCAAGAAGGAACGATGAACTCTCTATCGCTCTTCCTCATTCAATCTCGTGGCATTTTCTTGAATTTTTCTTCGTCTCCCCCCCCCAAAAAAAAACCGCCAGCAAGGCAGCCCTTTGTTCTCGTATCGTTGCGCGTTGTTATTTCGTTTTCGTTGGCCACGTACATCATTGCCTTGTGATTGGTTAGATTTACGATTGTTTTGGATTATAGCATGCATTGTCTACATTAAGCTTAAAGGAGCTGAAAGAAGCCTGAGACCAGATTTTCATCTCACTGAGTGGCAACTCACGGCCCTTTTTGCCATTTCATTCCGTCAATACTGGTTTCAATATCAGTGAAGAATTCACCAGGAAATACTTACATATTCCATGATGAAGAATGCACATCCAACCATTCTGACCCCGACAGAGAAGCGGCGCTCCAAGTACTGAGATAAACAAAAGACATAATGGGAAAAAAATTACGTCTGAACTTTTGTTTTAAGCCTGGAGGGCCTTAATAAAATGGTTTCAGTCCCCTTGCTATGAGAGCTTCATCTCAAACCTCTTTATACAACAAAATAGTGAGCTGTACCGCAAGCTCCACTGCGGTTAAATGTGCGAAGCGTTTTTGGTTTGTTTGGTTTGGGACACGAAAGAACCGCAAAATGAACAGTCACGCGTTAGAACTCATAAAAGAGTTTGTGGTCAGGCCACTTCAGCAGCATGATCTAAAGGGTTATTCATCAACTTTCATTTCCAATCGCGCGTTAAAACCAATATAGGATGTTTTTGTTGGAAACGGGTGCTCAATTTCGTCAATTTGTTATTGACCGGTCTATTGTATTTATCACGCGGCTATCGCGCAATGCTTGGTCTTTAGCACGCACTCGTGCGTGAGCTAAGCGTGTCGTAGGACTGGTCGACAGCAATCTGATGCTTCTTAATGGATTTTTATTTAATTAGGTAATTTTCCAAGTTGTAGTGTATGCCTTTTAAAATTGCGACTCAAAACAATTAAATACGAAGTTTACATGCTGAGCAGTTTCGTCAAATAAGAAAACAATATCTTAAAAACACTTTCGAGAAGTAATATCATGTTACACGCCTAAACCCCTAGAAACAGTTCGCTCACAATAAAGCAGTTCAATGGAAAATACACTAGACTAGAAGGAACTAAATGAAAAGCGTGCTAAAGTACATGTATCTTTGGAGTAGTCATACTTAGGGGTTTCACCCATATGCGCAAAATTTTAAACCACTTTAAAGGAGTGGATGATTGAGGCTACTACTGAGTGTTTCTAATAATACAAGAGTCGTACAATACTGCACAATCCCCTCATTTAGCAGAATCGATACCTGACATAGGGCTTGTACCTCCCTTAATATTATCATAACATTACTTTCAACAAAAATGCAGTGTACATGCTAATGCAGATTAAGAGCAGTGAAAAATCGAGTTATAAAAATGCCGTGCGGAGTAAAGTTACTAAATTGTAAAAGGCAGTCGAGATTCAATAATCTTAGTAATCTTACCTCATTAGCGCAGGTTATATTCACACGTCTAAACATGGGGACGAAAACAATGGCTACGGTTCCGCAAATGATGAAGTAGGAAAGAATCAGCACGTAGTACTGTGCGCCGTACGTGTAGATCTCAGACGGGACACCAAGCAGCGTAATAGCCGAGAGATAAGACACTAGCAGAGAAATAGCCACCGGGAAGTGTCGCATCTTTCGGTTTGCTAAAAGGTATTCCGACGTAGTCTTTTGCTTGCCTCCAGGTCCGCAGCCATACCATATGCCGATCAGCGCTGAGATCATCAGCATGATAGAAAAGACCACGTAGTCAACTATGCTGAACCGTTCGTCCGCCATGACTCACCGGGCGCTTCCCTGTTTAGAGCCGCCCTGGTTTAGAGGCTACGTAAAAAGCTAAGTGTTAGAGATGCTGAGGTGCAGTAAGTCCGGCTTTTCGCCTCAACAAGTTAGGCGTGATATGCTAATCAACCTATAAATGTTGTCGGGCACGTCAGTTCTAATGAATTTGCATAAGACAGGGAAGCTAGGATAGAAAAACCGGAACCGGTGGTGTGTCGGTTCGATTTCATCAAACGCGCCAGGCTTGTGAATGTCACGCCAATTTTCATGCTGTCACGCCGTCATTTCAGACTAATGCAGGAAATTTTAAAAATACTCCTTGCAGACTGACCTCTTGTCTGCTAAGTGGGGAGGAGCCTTGCGTAACGACACTAAAAACGGCTGTGTAGCAGACTAACTGACCTCTCTCCGATAGATCAGGTCATGCGATGTCTGCACGCAATACGTGATCACAAAAAGCAATCTTGAGGTTAACCTTCACCTCCTAACTGCGCCAAATCAATTTATGAATAAAACTCTGTTTTTAGAATCCTGCTTACAACGATTCTGCTCACGGGACCCATTCGGAACTCGTATTAATTCACAGAGAACTGAAAACCTTCCTTTTCTCTATGACGTCTGGTCTTCTTGTCAATTGATAAAGTAGCCTGCATGACAGGCGCTTTATGAGCCAAGCGGGGCGAACGCGATATTTCGCGCGGAGCGCGACACGAGCGCGAAGCGCGAGACGAGGGAAAGAGAAAAATATTTTTCTATATATTTTTCTCTTTCCCTCGTCTCGCGCTTCGCGCTCGTGTCGCGCTCCGCGCGAAATATCGCGTTCGCCCCGCTTGGCTGATAAAGCGCCTGTCATGCAGGCTATTGATAAAGTGGATCGCGAACGTTTGGTGTCTCTAGACTATGTCTGAGTTTCGTTCCAGATCCAGATATCAGCTACAAAATGTATAACCAACGTGTTCTGGGAAAAACTGAACTGCAAATAGCCTGCGTAGCAGGCGCTTGGAAGGGGCCCTGAGTAGGGGGCCCTCTCCCCTCGCTTGTCTCCCTCGCGCGCGCCCGTTCTCTCTTTCCACCCACTACTTCCAAGCGTTTGTTACGCAGGCTAAACTACAAACAACAACCGTTATTTTCTCTCGAGGCAACATTGGAGAGATGTGGGTGATGAACTGAAGCTTTAAGCAAAGTTTCCCTCACTAGAGACGGATTATCGGTTGGGTAACTCGGGGCCAGACAAATAATCTGTCTTAACGTGAAACTGAACGGTTTTATTTTCGACAAATAATTTGTCCAACTTTCTGTTTTTTGAAGATGATTTATCCGTTTCAGACGGATAATCCGTCTTTAATGTGAAAACGGCTATTTTGACACTTGATGGATTTTCCGTCTCAGACGGGCGATCTGTCGGATAACCCCTGTCAGGCTGAATAATCCATCTAAATGTGAAAAAAGGGACCGCGTTCATTGTGGACGAATAGTATTCCGTCTGAATTTATTCGTCTGATTAGACGGATTTTGAAGACGGACTATCCGTCTTTGACGGATAATCCGTGTCTAGTATGAATAGGGCCACTGTGCTTACAGTAAGTACTATGGAAACCATTCAAAATTTTCTCTCACATGAAAAAGGATTAGACACCTAAATAGGCTGTTTTTACAAACATTTATAACCCTCCTTGACGCTTCTTGATATTTGGTTTTTCAATTTTAAACTTTCCTCCAAGTTAGTGAAACTGTAAGCTTGATTCTTTCTTCGCCTTTTCCTTGTTGTAAACCTCTCACACTCTTTGGTAGCTGTTTTTGTGCATGACGGTACAAGCTCTTTTAATTCTTTTTAAATTCTTAAAACGACTTGTACAAGAGTTGTAAAGATGCTACTTTCCTTTGTAAAGATGTTTTGTCAGTGTAGAAAAGCTGTGTGACAGCTATTTGATATTTGTGCATATTTAAAAGTTTTATTTACATTTGTTTGTGTTAAGTTTTAAACGAACGCGTGCAGTTTTTATCTGGTGAAGAGCCTCTCAGCTGTGCACGTTACTTGTGACATTACCCAGTATCACGTGACGCAGCTTCGTAGCCTAAGACATGGCTGAGTAGTTTCAGTGACTTAAAAACTCATCGAAGCAAAAACGTTGCGTGAGTATCCACATGCATGGTTTTTCTCAGTCATTCATGTGGGAAAGTCAGGTATTTTTGGCCTTTTTTATTGCGCACTAAGCGTCGAGTAACCATTTCCGCAACACGTACCAATACCATTGAGCTTTAGAAGAGTTTTGTCTGTTTTGAGGGGGTACTGCTAGTTTTGTTCTTTTTTTTTGTTGTTTTCTTCCTTTTGTCATTTTTTTCGCTAATTCCGCGCTGTAGGCTTTACTTTTGCGATGCTAAAGTCTTTTTCTGAAAAAAATTCATCAGACAAGAACGCAAAGAAACCTTCCATTGCACTGCATTGCAGTTAAAGTAAAAATGGTATCAGCATACGAGAATTAAATATGAAACGAGGAAACCAAAATATGAAAAAGAAATGATAATTTTCTTGCATAATTAACATCTTCGTTATTCACCAGTATAGTCATTGACTTTGAAGAAATACTTATGGACATATTAACGTTATGTTCCCGTATAAATCAATCAATCAATCAATCAATCAATCAGAATAGAGTGCAGTATTAGATACCTACCGGTTTTGGGGTCACTGAATTACTGATTTCAATTTGACTTGACTTCGACTTGACTTCGACTTTGACTTGACCAGACTTGACTTTGACTTCTCGCGTCTCAGCTACCGAAGAATAGAGAGCTTAAGCAACGACGACGAGGACGGCAACGAGAACGTCAAAACGTCCAGTGCATCACGCTTATTTGTAAATTTAATTCTTTGCCGTCCCTGCATGACTACGACGTGAAACTGCCAATACAGTCGTTTAGAGTTCAAATCCAGGAGAATTTGTCAACAGTTGACTAATTGAACGATATGGAATAAGCTTGATCAAGTTTGAAGCAGCGTGAATTCACTTCTTAGGTGGCGTTTTCGGAACCGTCGCCGCCGTCGTCCTTAAGTTTCCTAATGCTGGAAACTGCATGCAGCACTTACTCGCTAATCCTGCCAGCTACATTCCAACGTACGAGTCTCTGCGGATTCCTTAGCGTCTCAGTTCTGTCGATCAGTGTCCTTTTGGAAGATATTTGTTTGAGCCTTGTGCCCAAGCTTACCCAGGCCTAAACACGCTCAGTTAGTGGGTCCTGGAGCCGGATAGGAATCTTCCTAGCTCGATGGAAAGCTTCATATTCGATTGCGGAATTTATATGCGGCGCGACTTCTGGAAATGAACCACTCTTGGACCTGTACCGGTAAAAGGGCAGTACAGTCAAGGTGCTAAGGCTCTTTTTAAAGGTTAAAGCGTAGTCGATGGATTTCTATTACTCAGTGTACGAGTCATGAGACAAGTCATTTGTTTACTCAAGCAAGATTGGCCTTCTCCGTATTTAAGTCTAAAAACGAATGTCTTTAAAACACGGACAAGTAATCGCAGGCATCTTCGTTCTAATAACCAGCTGATCAAACGAAATCCAAAAAGATAAATTCAAAAAAGTTGTTCTTTACCTTGCCAACTGTGATGGTTACAGTAACGCAAGGGGAAAAATTTGTTTGAGATCCTCATTTGACTCGTTTGTCACACTTACTCCAAGAGTGAAGTTATTTCGTAGTGCAGGTATCTACAGGCTATAGACATTTTTTGGTGTACTGGCCCTAGATTGACCCTTTGTTGTAGCTAAAAGCATCGAGGCTGAGGTTAGGAATATTTAGCTCCGGCTGAGGTTCAATTTACAACATTTTATTTCACCATTTGCAGCATGAGCAATATTGAGATCTGTAGCTGGACTGAATCCAAGTAATGGTCCACAGTGCACAGTCATTAATATATTAACATACACTTGGGGACCTTAAGCAAAGTCGTTTTTTCAACGATGCTCCTCAGTCTGAAGTGGTTTAAGTAGACTTTTTGCCTGCATTCTTGGGCGTGGTTTTTCCCAAATCTTCTGGCAAATCGTCTTTGTAAGAGTAAAACCATTTAGCATTACGAACTTGTTCCCGTCATAGTAATATTGAAAGGGAAAACTGACTGAAGAACTCACGTCCGGTTGACGTCCCTATTCGTCACAAGAGCGGTGCAGTTTTTTGGTCATATAACTTTGAAAGAAAACCGACTCTCTTCGTCAAGAACATCGTTAAGAACGTTTTGAGGCTTACATTGCCCTTAAAACTGAGTGAAGAATATCTTATACTGGCTCAGACCTGGCTTCAAATTAGGACTCATTTAGATAGTCTTACAGAAAAGGATGTATCGACTGAAAATACCCCCACTGAGTACCTTCTTTTCGTAAATCGTTTCATAACATTGTCGGTGAAGCGATTATACCTGATTGCGTTCTTTGACAATGAACCGGAGAGTTTTTAAGCAAACAAAGCTCACTATAGTCTCGCTCAACTATTTTATTTAACTCATTGTTTTGTGGTCGCTGTCCTCTGTTTACTTACAAGACAATGTGATGTTTAAATCGTATCACAGGAGAACGCCAATCATGAGGTTAGTTGCTCGTGATTTGTTAGTGTAATACACTGTTTACATTTTAATTAGTTAAATTCTTGCTGGTTTACTCCTTTAAACAGACCAAGCTGTCAGCTATCATGACATTGCGAAAGTACCTGAAGTAAGCTTGTATTTTTTGTATTATGGCTGCACAGAACAATCTCCCAGCAAACCATTCTCTATTTCTTAACGCGGCAGCCGCAACAGCCGAAAAAGTTAGCAAGCCACCGAGAAATGGTGGACAGGCAATGAATATTGAAGGCGATTGGGACGTATGGATACCTATGTTGCCTCAACTCAGCGAACTTCCGTGGACCCTACAGGACATTGCAAAAGTTCTTCGGCTTGGCAGAACGCGGGAAAATTTTCGCGCCATTTCTCCGCAGGCGATCGAGCGCGTGTCCTTCCTTTTGCAAAGGCCATTATTGAGGATCGTTCGTGAGGCCAAACGACTGTCTGTTCGATACTCCAAGTGCTCTAAACAAGAAATTCAGACGAGCATCCGCCTGGTTTTGTCGTTGTCTTTGGCTAGAAGTTGCCTAGCGCTGGCGTCAAAGGCGCTGTCTCTCTACTTCATGTCGACTGACAGATTTCATCGGTCCAAGAGAACTCGTAGTGGGCTTATTCTATCCGTGGGCAAAATGTTTCGATGGCTGGTAAACATGAAA